CATACTGTAAATTTCTTTTGAGAGTGCACTTGAAGAGTGTTTGAGAAAGTTTCTTGTAATTGTAGAGTGAGAGATTTCTTAAGAGGGAATTATGAGGGGATTCACAAGGTTTGCCAACGGTGAGTATCTCTTACTTGTTCTTCAAAGTTCTTCCTACTTTCTTGAAAACTTTTGGAAGAAGATTTTCAAAGGAGCATCGATACTCTGCCGATACTAGGAGGGTGTAAAAGAATGACGGTACTCTACCAACATGAAGAGGGTGTAAAAGGATGACGATACTCTACCAATATTAGCAGAGTGTAAAAGGATGACGGTACTCTATCGACACTAGAAGGGTGTGAAAGGATGCCGGTTCTCTACCATCACCAGGAGGATAAAAAAGGATGACAGTACTCTACCACACTAGAGATTGGTGGAAGAGAGATTATTTGTAAGAGCTTCACCTCCTTATTGTGTGAGCAAAAGGAGAGTCACTTTGGTATAGTGTAATACCTGAAGAGAGAGTCTTCAAAAAGTTGATGTAGGTCTTATTAGATCAAACCACTATAAATTATGTGTTCCTTATATCTTTACTTTTTACTATTTTTATTTTCTGCAAGTTAATTTCTGGTTGAAAAATATTTTTTTAAAAAATTATCATTGTGATTAAAATTTTTTAAAATAGTTTTTGTAATCTTCCAAGATTTTTTTTTTTAAATTTCCATTTCACCACTCTCTTAGTTAGCATTGGGATAATTGCTTTAGGTATAACAACCTATTCAGACATTCAAGTTATATCAGAGCCTACTTTAAAAAATTAAGAATTAGATAACTTTTTAAAAATGATCATGGTTACTTCTAGAAACCGTAACACACCTGAAGGATATTCAATCATAAGACCTCCATTATTTGATAACATCCCTTTTTGGTTTTTGGAAAACACCTATGTATACTTTTCTTCAATCGCTTCACTATCACATGTAGATTTTAGTACATGAAGGATACACTAGGACAACTAAACTTGTAGATGGTATTATAACTGAAACACTGTTTACTAACTGGATAGTAGAAGAAAAAGACTTAGCTTAATTAAACATAAAATATTTAAACAATTTTTTCTATGCTCTTAAATCTGAATACTATATGCATATCTCTACCCCTATAGAATTGGAAAAGAAATTTGGGATATACTTTATATCACATATGAAGGGACTAACAAGATGAAACAATATATATTGAATATTTTGCTACATAATTATGAACTATTTTACATGAACCCAAATGAATCAATCACTGACATGTATACTCGTTTCACACAAATAGTCACCTCATTACACGCTTTAGGTAGAGAACTAATAAATGTTATGAAAGTAAATAAAAAACTTTATTATTTGCCTACTACTTATGATGTAAAGATAAATGTTATAATAGAATCAAAAGACTTAAATGTTTATTTTATTGATAATCTTTGTGAATCACTTATTACTTATGAGCAAAGAGTGACTCAAAGACAAATTGATGCAGGTGAGAAGCAGAAGGATAAAAATATAGCATTAATGAAGGTAGATGACTCGGATAGTGATCAATCTCAGCCTGAGGATAAAGATGACATTGCCTTAATGACAAAGAAATTTAAAAGTTTCCTTAAGAGGAAGCAACATAGATGTCAACAGTGGAATAAGAGTAAGTTCAATAAAAATGTTAAAGCTTCTAATAATGTAATTTATTATGAATGTAGGAAGTTTGGACACATCAATTTTGAGTGCTCAAATCTCAAAGTTAATCTTAGCAAGGAGAAGGTTAAGGATAAAATAAATGTGAGAAAGGGAAAGAAGATATTCCTGAGAGCATTTTGGGTGGATTCAGCTTTGAATTCTTCAGAAATAGAATTAGAGGAGGAAGTTACTAACTTGTGTTTTATGGCTGGAAAACTAGATCAGTCAGATCAAAAAGAGATATGTGACTTAACTTATGAATAGTTATTTGATGTTTCTAAGAAAATTCATACAGCCTATAGGAAACTTAAAAAGATGTATGCTACATTGAATATAGAATTTTTAGAATTACGAAAAGAGCATAAAATCATTAGGAATGATCACACATTGATATATAACAACCACATAAAATTATTGGATGAGTTTGATGATTTGAAAAAACAACATGAATTATTAAAATCATCACATTCTAAACTTAAAAATGATTTTAAAACATTTATGGATGAATCTGATAGTAGGTGCATAATTTGAAAGTTGATAATGTTATTTTAGAAAGTGCAAACTCGTATCTTATGGAGAAAATAAAGCTCTTGAGAAAAATAGGATACCCCAATACTTGAAGATTTTTCTAATCATGATAAAGAGCCTAAAACTTTAAAATCTAGGAAAAGATAGTATAACACATGTAGATTGATAAATCCTTTTTTTGGAGTGAAATGTTTTTCTTGTGGATTATCTGGCATATCTCATACACTTGTACTATTCATATTAAATCATATTTAGTGTGGAGACCTAAGATATATAAAATAAATTATATTAAACATGCATCCAGATTATTTTGCCAAGAGGAGAACTCAAACTTGTTTGGGTTCCCAAGTCTAACATTTGATTATCTTTTAGAAATGATCTCATACAATACCTCGTGAGAGCATTTGGTACCTAGATAGCGGATGTTCGAAGCATATGACTGAAGATACGACACAATTCATATCGTTGAAAGCTAAGAATAGAGGCAAAGTTACACTATGATACAATACCACTAGAAAAGTGGTAAGCACATATATAATTAAAAATTTAAACAATTTTTTTTATTAAAAATATCTTATTGGCAGAAGGTTTAAAGCATAACTTAATGAGTATTAGTTAACTATGTGATAAAGGTTATAGTATAAATTTTTTTTCTACTAGCTGCATAATAAGTCAAAATGGAATTGATGTTTTTTTCATCGAATTAGGATATAAAATGTGTATGAATGTTATTAAATCTTTTAATGTTTTTTGTCTTAAAATAATTATTGATAAATCATGGTTATGACATATAACACTTTGTCATACTAGCATGAAAAATCCTAGAAAGATTATTGAAAAAGAGTTAGTTAGAGGTATACCTAAACTAGAATTCATTAAGGATCATATATGTGATACATTTCAATTAGAAAAATAGGTGAAGTTCTCCTTTAATTCCATTAAGGATCTTAGAACTAGCAAACCATTGAAAATCATTAACATGGATCTTTTTGGACCGGTTAATACTGCTAGTATAGGAGGTAATGTATTTAGATTTATGATAGTTTATTCTTTTTTAAGATTCATTTGGGTTAAATTTTTATTTCATAAGAGTAAATCATTTGAGGAATTTAGAAATTTTTATACTTGGATTTAATGAAAGCTAGGATATGAGATTATATCAATTCAAAATGATCATGAAGGAGAATCTAAAAATAAAAAATTTAAAGATTTTTATAAAAAGAAAGGAATTTATTATAATTTTTCAACATATAGGACCCCTCAACAGAATGGGGTAGTAGAAAGGAAGAATAGAATATTAATAGAAGCAGCTAGAGCCATGTTGGCAGAATACCCACTTTAAAAATATTATTGGGCTGAAGCAGTTAGTACATCTTATTATGTTCTAAATAGGGTTAACATTAGATCCAAGTTGAACAAGACACCCTATGAACTTCTAAAGGGTAGAACACCTAATCTTTTACATTTGTATATTTTTGGATGCAAGGTTTTCATTCATAATAATGGCAAAATTCCTTTAAAAAAATTTGATCTAAAATACTATGAAGGAATTTTAATTGAATATTCTAGTGTTGGAAAATCTTATAAAGTTTTTGATAAGAAAACTTTTGTAGTTGAGGAGACCGCTGTTGACCTCATTTTTGTATGAGGTCATTTGGACTA